GGGAAGGGGGGGTTAGGGAGTACCTCAGTGTGAAGGCCCTGGGTTCAATCTCCAGTACCACAAATTAGAATTTTTTTTTTGGTACTGGGAATTGCACTCAGGACCTCGAGCTTGCCTGGCAGGCGCTGTGCCACTGAGCTATCTCCCGGCCTCCGGCACCAAAAATGAAAGGAAGAGGCCCCCTGGACCTCCCCGACGCCGCATCATTTCCCCCCAAAGGGGGTCAAGGTCTGGAGCTATAAATGCCCGAATCCACCAAGAAACCCAACGGGAAGAATCTCTGGCAGGCTCCCATTTTCCCCCTCATCCCTCAAAAAAACTCTTAGGGACAATTAAAATCTGAGGTTTGACCGTGAGGTCCGCACCTCCTCTTGGACCGTAAAATGGCGGCTCCTCGGCCTCTCTTCCCCACCAAGAACTCGCCGTGAGGAAACGTCCCTCACCACCCCTCCGACACTGGGTTATTTCTCTTTGTTTGTGGCGGCGAGTTGGTTAGCGGTTCTCAGGAGGGGTAAGAGCTGGTTGTTGCCCTGAAGAGAAAGTTTATTTTCTTCAGGCAACAGGTACCAGAATTAGCCGCACCTTGAACCTTTATCTCCAACCAAAGAAAAGCCAACTACCTTCTGGGGCGAGGAGGACCTACAGGCGAGGAGCAGCCTGAGCTGTTGCAGCGACTCTGCAAACTTCCAACTTCGATCTACTTTTCCCGCCACTAGAAGGAGGCGCGAGGACGCTGACAAGCTCCGCCCCCGCGGCGTGCTCCGAGTCGGGGCGCATGCGCACCTGGACGCCCGCGTCTGCATTTGCGCAGCTGGACCATTTCCGTTATCTTCTGAGAAATGACTCAAGACTACAAATCCCGTGATGCTCGTTGGCTTCGCTTCTATTTAGGCGGCAGGGCCAGCGCCTGATTATTCTTGAACTACCTTATTTCACTAATTCCTCTGTCCACACTAGACTGCTTTTTCCTTTCTTTTTCCATGCTGAGTCCTAGTCTTCTTTCTAGTCTCTTTCACGCCTTTATTCCAGTCTAATTTGAGACGATCTTGAGCCCAACTCTCGCTTCTACTGCTGTCAGCTACACTCTCAGCCGGGCGACCAGGCCAACCGTCACCCCGGAGAAACGGCGTCCATTCACTGCTTCTTCCCATTAGCCGAAGCAGTGGCCTCAAAAACGGGCAGAATCCCCTTCCCCGCCCGCCCTCGCTCTTATATAAGGAAGCCTCAAGCCGCCGCTCGAATCTGGAGGGCCCGTGTCAACCGGGTGACGGTGGAGAGCAGCTGGGAGCCGCGGACGGGTGGGCTCGCGCGCAGGGCAGGATCTGGATGGTGGGCGGAGGCAGAGGAAAGCGTGGTGTACCCAGGTGATCACAATCGGGAATGATCGCGCAGGAGCCAGAGAACGACTCAGCCATTTCGGAGAAGAGGAAGTTGGACAACCTTAGCAGTTTTGGTGTTTTTTTCAATTCAGCAGATATTTCCGAGGGGATGAGTTTAAATGATCTACCGTATTTTACTGGGAACAGTTCGTAGGAAGACGGTCAGTACACCCCGTTCCTTCCCTTCCGTTAAAGTTCATCCCTTACACTCCCTTAAAAAAGCTCTAAGTAAGTGAGCAGAGGCGGGGGAACGGGTCCTGCCTGAATAATTTATGAGGTCCGCCCCTTTCGCTGGGAGGTCACACCCCTCCGAATCGTGCTGACGCACACAGCGTATACCAAATTTGAGGAAGCGACGTAGCAGTTCCGCCCCCAAGACGGAGGGCGGAGCGTCATCTTCAGCACGTGCTGCCTCTACCCGCGTAAGCCCAAAAGGGGCACTGTGCGCAGGCGCTGCCCACTAGGGGGAGGAAGGAGGCGGGGTAGGGAGGTTGTTGGGTTTAGAGCCGGGCGGAGACCGCTGAGACTCATTCCTCAGGAACAAGGGTCGGGTGTCAAGGAGACCTTTTCACACCAGCTCCCCGTCCCCCGCCTACGGTGGGTGGGATCGCGCGGCAGAGACAAAGGAGATCAGTAGGGCCGGACATAGCTGCAAAGGGAAGTAGGGTGTCCGTTTTGGGTGGTGGGCTTCTGGTGGGGGGCTAAAGGGAGGCTATATTTAAACTCCCGGAGCCGTTAAGTTGGTTCGCATTCGGATGCGCGCGCAGCCAGGGTGGTGGTGGAGTGCGCATGCGCGGTCCGGGGGCGAGAGGAACGCGCGCTAGCCGTGCGCGCTCGCGGCGGAGTGGTAGTGGTGGCGGAGAAAGGGGTCGGCGCACGCGCGGTTGATTCCTCGGGTTGTCCGGGTCTCGCGGGCATCTTGTTTTGGTCTCGCGGGCGAGTGGGGCGCGCTTCGGGGAGGGGGAGAGCGCTTGGGCGCGAGGCGAGTGGAGCAGAGCTGCGCGCGCACTCGGGAAAGGGGGGAAGGGAACGCGGTCCAGGCAGGGGGGCTTAAGCCCCCGATCCCCCCATCCCCGTACCCTCCGACTGGGACGGAATAAGGGGAGGAAATGATCGAGATGGCGGCGGAGAAGGAGCCGTTTCTGGTGCCGGCCCCGCCGCCTCCACTCAAAGATGAGTCGGGCGGAGGGGGCGGCCCCGGGGTGCAGCCGCACCGGGAGGCCGCCTCCGGGGAGCCCTGCGGCGGGACGGAGCGCGGGCCG